TTATATATATTTGGATGTACGGATCGATCTTGTACTTATACCAACACCGGTGACGTCATAAAATGACGTCATGCATATTTTTTTTCATGATAAAGCCTAAAATACATTGTAAACATACTAAAGACCTTCATTTAAACCTTTTTTGGAAAAAGAAATGGAAGTATTGATGAAATTTTAATGAAAATAACCTGTATATACCTGTTCTAATGATATGGTCCGCCATCTTGGATTTTGGCCAATGACGTCATCAAATTAGCATAAATTATGCATATTTAATGATAAAATTTACATAAAATTATATGGGATGTTATTAATATTAGAAACCATGAGTAACTTGACATAAAACCCATAAAATTCTTGTTGAAACAAAAAGTACTAAATTTAGCAAAAAATGCCTGTCAGAAACCCGTTGCCATGGCAACACAAAAAAATTTTATCTTATTCCAATGATATAGAATTGTTGCCAACAATATTCTAGGAAAAGTCACCAAGTTTGGCCGTTCTACGGCTAGCCGTTCAGACGCTAGGTGACATCAAAGTTGCCGCGTGCACTTTTAGCCCCCCCCCGGTCTAGGTAGGGTTAAAACTTGAAGAAAGATTGAAAAATGTTTGCTGTATTTGCTTATACTCTGTTAGTCCCATGAATTGTGCTGTGGCACTTTACTTCTAAGTTACCATCAGTACCATTTAGTAATCTTGAAGTAGTACCTGAATTATGTGTTTTGATGACTAAAATACCTGTTGCTTTGTTTCATGTTGACAGTTATCTATCATAATGCACTGTGCTGTTTAATGTTTTGGTTTGGTTTATGTACAATGTTCATGAACTTGAATCAACTGTTACTTTATTTATTTATCATTTGTACATTGGTGAAGGTCACTAATACATATCCAGGTAAACAACTCACAGATGCCACTCTTCTTCAGCATCATCAAGAACTAAGAGAACTACAGTTTTTTTTTTACAAATGCTCATATCTAAGTGTCACTCAAAATGTCCAGAAGAAATCTCTGTAATCTATCCAGTAGTTAAGAGATTGAATTGTCAAATGTACTACGATTTGTACAGTTCCGAGTCATCATCGCGGATCTGCTGGGGATCAGTGACGTAGACTTTGTACACCAGACGTGGATTCGGGTCGTGCCGATGCCCTTGGTGACGACCTTGGGCCCATCCCTGGTCACTCAGCACACCTCCGATGACTTCTGGGTGAGCGCTGAGGCATCGTGGGATCCGGAGGGTCTGGTCTCCTCATCAGATCTCAACATCACCTGGACTTGTGACGGCTGTAAGTTGATACCAAATACATGTATTACAGGATCGAATCTCACTGGTATGGACATAGTGAGGGTAATACATTGGTGCTTTTATATGCTTTATATATTATATATTATATTTATTGTTTAGAAGTTTTACTTCAGTGCAACTGTAACAAATAATGTTATGTGGCGACAGTTTTGCCCATACAACCTTGCAAGGTTGCTTCAAAATATCATGTTAAACATGGAATTTTTTATATGCCATGGGTTAAGGTCCGGACTTACGAGTCCGGAACTGAACCTAAACCTCAGGACCTGAACCTAAATGTGGGTTTAGGTACACAGCACTAATTACAGCTAAATTGAAAGGCTAAAAGTTACAGACATCTAACCAGCGTTCCCGCCAGCCCGTGTCATGAGTGCGTTCAAATATTTTTGGCCGGGGGGGGGGCGAGCGCCACAGGCGCTGGCAATGTAGGGGGGTCCGGGGGCATGCTCCCCGGGAAATTTTGGATTTTTAAACCTCAAATAACACCATTTCCGTTATTTTGAGAGGCAAAATGACAGTGGTTTTCGGCCTCTCCTATTACTGACGCCGCCGTATTATCGATACGACCGCACTGTCCCCTAAACTTGTTTACTTCTGGGATACGTATTCTAGTCCAATGTTTTCAGCTACATGGCTACCGGCTGAGCTTGGGACGTCTTATATCGTGGGAAATAATATTAAAACTTTGAAAGGTCACGTCTTTGGTTTTCTACATTACGTATTTTGGGTCAATACGTTAGGCCAACGTCATATATGAAAAAAAGGCAGGGATATATTATGTTCATTTTGGTCTGCAATTTCCGTGCCATAATTATGTACATTGAAAACGTTTTTAGGTCTATACGTCAATTTTTATGTCATTGATACATTACATATGCCAGGTCAAACGGCAATCATTCCGTCCAAACTAACATTATTCACTGTTTCCATTTTACATCAAAATTACAATTGTCTACATAGTGCTTCAAACACAAGTGCATGTAGTTGAAATAATAACCTTATTCGTTCTGGAATAGGTTGCCTAAATGGGTACGTTTTCCATCAACATAGTCTTCGATGCTTTAAGGCCTTCAACGACAGGACAACCTACAACGGTGCAGTCAGTAGGTGTTCTTTAGACGGGGGAACCCTTGCCATGCCCCGCGACAGCACAACCAACGAGTTCCTTATCGATCTAAAAAATGGCGTCGACAATAACGCTTGGTACCGTTTTGGACTCACTGATGTCCACCAGGAGGGAGTTTGGATGTGGGACGATGGCGTTCCTCTGGGCGACTTCAGAGCTTGGGGTCCAGGAGAACCCAACAGCGCAGGTGACGAGGACTGTGCCGAGTACTGGCCCCACTTGAACACATGGAACGATATACCATGTACCTTTGCTGACAGGAAGTTCATCTGCCAACTCTCTCAATTAGGTAAGTTTAAAAACATGCACATCTCCGTTTGCACTTTTAATTTTTTTTAAATAGAAGAGTTGCTTCGCACATTGCTATACATTGTGCCCATTTTCTTCTCACCTTTTTTAATCAGCATAACTTGTTGGAGATGTTGGATCAAAGACAAATATCAAAGTTGTTTCTGTCCTCCTGATGGCTGCCCTTTGTTCTTCCGGTTTCTGTATCTTTGTCCTGGACATTCTAGGTTTTTGGGAGTGACATTGTTCCTTATTTAAAAAAAAGTGCCATAAAGCCCAGGTCACTTCGGAGAGAAAAGGCAATCCATTAGTTAGTTCAGTACGATGTCTGTTTCCAAATTCGGTTAATGGCGCGCATTTCATACAGCGTAGGATGTTGGTATTTCAATCTTAACATTCATGAAAAATTAAAGCTGTTGTTTTTGCATGGGGTGTTTGTGTGCACGTGTGCACTCTATGTACCTAAGACGCGCTGACTTTCCCCAAGCAAAGACCTCATTTTAATATCATAATGACATTTAAAAAGATTCTCTATTGACACAACAAAAACATACAGGGACTTTTGTATGGTCTTCTACAACTGAAGATCTAACAAAGTATGGATAACGTCAAACTATTTACAGAATACATGTAAGCGGCCAATACATTACGTACAGAATATATGTAAGTTGTATCAATAAAGGTTTAATTATTCTCTAACATGTAGTCTCTAAGATTGAAACATTCTTTAATATATTTCTCCATTTGAACTCTGCATTGGTTATGTCCCCTCAGAAAGTAATTGAATTTGTCTATAGGATCTAACGTATTGAAATCAATTGAACAAGTGAAAAAAGGAAACAGCATTAGGCACCTATCATTGTAGAGTGTAAAATATATTCTAAAATGGTGTTCATTTTTAATCATTTCCACCAAAATTAACAGAATCATTGGTCATTTCTGGTATCTACCCATTTCTTTGTTCAATTTATGACAAGTTATTATTATTTTTGTGATCGCTTTGCGGATATCTAGATTGTGTATACTTGAGAGGTATTGCTTTTGTCCATAGTTTTCCTTTGACCCTAAACAGTAAACCTGTGGTCCGCGCGGACCCCAGCACTATATATTCTGTAATAGTTTTTTTTTTTAATTTCAGATAATTGTCACCCAAAAAGTTGTCTCTCAGTACAGTGCAGAAAACTCTGTGCAGAAATTCTTGTGGGGTCCGCGCGGACTCCGGCCAGCTTTCGATCGTAATGGATACACTGGCGTTCTTATACATTACTTTATTTCCGTTTTCATATGTTTTTGCAGTCATCTTATGGCAACCAAATTTTTAGAGAATGATGTACTAATAGAATTAAATTCTAAAAACTTGGTGTAATTTTGACGTCATATTACGTCAGAGCTAATAATAGTAGTAGTAGTAGTAGTAGTAAGCCTTTATTTAAACTCGAAAGCTTGTTCGGTACAATACATATGACCGCTTTTCAACAAGGTCGAAGGTGAGGGCGGGGTCATGGATTACAAATCAAACCAAAATATAATACAAAATGAAAACAAAATGCAAAACAAAGTATAATACAAAAATAAATAGTAAATCATCAGTCCGTTATCAATCCAAGTTCGTTATCAGTCTTCTAAATGTTCCCAATGACTGGGCTGCACGTACATGTGGTGGCAAGGAGTTCCACACAGTCGCCCCCGAGTACCTCAGTGACCGCCTGTACACTTCCAGTTGGGGCCTCGGTATGATGAGGTTGTCCAATGTGCTCTGTCTGGTGGATCTGGAGGCTTCATCTCTATACCGGATGAACACCCCTCGCATGTGTGGTGGTAAAGAATTGTCAAAGGCCCTATACACTAGCATGGCTTTATGTTGACAATGTAGAGTTCTCAAGGACTTCCATCCCAGACAAGAGAGAGGACTTCCCGTGATGATGTTCTGTACGGAGCTTTCAAGATCAATTCCTATTCGGTTCTGCATTCTTTGCATCTTATCATATTGTACCGAAATGGCACCATCCCAGACAGTACAGGCATAAGTGAAGTTAAGTGAATATGGTCCGCCATCTTGGATTTTGACCAATGACGTCATCAAATTAGCATATATTATGAATATTAAAGTTTGAACGGCTAGCGCTAGAACGGCCAAACTTGGTGACTTTTCCTAGAATATTGTTGGCAACGATTCTCTATCATTGGAATAAGATAATAACTTTGTTACGGTAAATTTATGAACAAAGTACCCACATTTTCAACTTTTAAAATACAAAAAGTGTCTCAGGCCGTCGCCAAAGTCGGGGTGCCTACTTTATTTGAGGTTTTCCCCTCCCCATGACGTGTGCCGAGCTCATCACCGGACCTGGATTACAGATTACAGGGGCGGGGAGGACTCGAAGTACAGATCGCAAAAGTAGGCTTACTGCTTCTTCAACCTGGGTTGTTTTTGTAAGATTCCACCAAGTTGGTGGCACAGGTCATTTCACTCTTGGATTTTTTTTGGATGCACTCAGCTGGACAGAGTGCGTCTTTTTTCCAAAATAGTGCTTCCAAAAGACGCAAGGACGCATGCCTGGCGGGAACACTGCGTCTAACACTTGATCTTTATCACACCCAGACGCTTGCAGAAATCGTCTCAGATACAGTGCAAATCAGACAGCAGGAACTACCTTCAACTTCACAGCCCAGGCTTCCTCCCCAGGCAGACCATCAGTCCAAGCATCCCAGGTTGTGGTTTTCCAGGACAACAGGGCTTGTGTGTTGGCCATACGGTGAGAACCTGGTCAGCGTATCACTGCATAAACCCGCATATACATGTACATGTCACAGTATGGATGAATTGCCACAGCACTGACTAGAATTTCTTTGAATCTGCTCGTTCTGCTTAGGGAAGGGGAAGTAAATATCTTGGGGGTCCAGATAAATGAGGTCAATGCCCTTGATCAGATGGCTGTCACCATCACGATGGTAGTTTTGTAGCAAGTGACATGAAAGCTAGAAGGGGCCTGGTCACTATCGAAGTTTTGCTCCTAGAATATTTTGCAATCATGATGAATGTACTTACCTTAGATGTAAGTGCCCTGTAGTGTCCCAAACCGTGCCTTGTCCCAAACCGTACCTGGGGCAAATCTACATTCTGGGAAATGTGGGGAATATTAAATTGGCGTGGCCTAAAGATTGAATTAAAGAATTAATGTTTTTGTAACGGTTTTCCAAACGACCCCAGCAATAACACTATAGCCGTTGGGGGTCAACTACTCGAAAGGCTATAAAATTTTAATCTAACATCTGAATTTCAAACCCAAAAATTTTATTTTATTTTCAGTAGAAAATTTTCAGTCCTTTACCCACAAGCGAACGGATGGGGCAGGTCCTGGAGACAGCCCTGGTCCTGATACATTTTACCTTTAAAATTCAATTTGTTATTATATTAATACCATTATTTTAGTCGGATCACTTCAGCCATAATATTCAGACAAAAAGAGAGACAGAGAATCCTACCTATACACCAATCCAATTTTTTTGCAGCACTAACATCAGAAACACAATTCATATTATCATATATTATAATATTTTCGTACTTTAACTGAATCTTGAAAGAAAGACTAACAAATGCTACATGTAGCAAGGGCACAATGTACATTATGCTAGGATTTCATCATAACTGTGTTTGCTAGACCTAAAAATTGACTTTACTGTCATCAAGCATAAATAGACTGCGTTTATCAACTCACTATGTGAACGGCTCTTATCTACCTAGTTTAATTTGAAGTCAGCCTAAATTTAATGTTATCACTAACTGCAGCTGCATCAACAATTGTGATTGGTCAAACACAAATTCATCAGAGGAACTCCAGCTGGAGGCTGTTCCAGGTAGTGATGACACCCCCTGGTATGAGTGGACAGTGGTGGAGCATCCCTGGGGCTTTGGAGGATTCCAGATAAGCGTTAGTGAACCAGAAGTAGTCATTGCAAACAACACATTCAATGTGAGTTTTCAGTTGTCAGTATCTTTTTTGGTCAATTAGACTTCAACTTGCTGCCTATGTATGCAGTTTGCAAAAAAAAATAACTGCTTTGTCTACAGTAATTTCATCAAGACACTCATAAGATGCATGAAAGTCTTAGGATAATCCCCTTAGACTTTTCTCCTTGTAGCATGCTTATGGTTTGGAATTTTTTGCTCGTTAACTACTTAATTCACAGCCTAGCTGGCTGACCAATCCTCAGAGGCTAACTAAGCTGACACAATGCCCAGATTGGCTAAATGATGTATTTGATATAATGAAACTTAGTGAACTCTGACCTCCAGTCCTCCAATTTACTGACTTAATTGCTGTGACATTGGAACGTTTTGACAACTTTGATGTATTGGACTGTTGTCCACCTTTTACTGTTTGACTATATGTAACCATGTCTTGTCCTGTGTAAATGTATGCTGGGCATTGGGAAAACAGCTCTTACAGCTGAATGTGCTACCCAACGGTTTTATGCTGAATCATGACACGAATAAATAAATAAATTTATTAATATGCAATTTTACTTTCTGAGTCTGCATTTCACAATCTTTAATATGTATTGATGTACTGATTATAATTCTGAATTGCAGGTGGAAGGAACGTACACTCTCCGCGTGGTCAACTACAACGGGGTCTGCCTTGACGGCCTGGCCGTGTCTGAGTGGACGTTCACAGTTTGGGGCCTGGAGCCCCCAGCCTTGCAGAACAAGAACCTGTCCACTCCCTGTGTGATAGAACGTGCAGGGGCAGGCGGATGTGTCTGCTGTGGAGGTCAGTTCGCACTGCTCCATAATATGAGCCAATTTGATTCAGCATTAATTGCAGCCAGCTGCTTTAATACATCGCTATAGCGTTGTCAGAAAATTATATGTGAAATATTGCTCCTAATATTTACTTTTTGTTGATATGCATAACTTTAGAGATTGGCAATGCCTGAGTGGCGGACAGGGTACTGTTAACAGTTACCTAAAAACATTGTGGAAAAAATTCAAATTTTCCACATGAATTTGCATGTGTGCCTTATAATCTAATGAACTTAGAATGGCTCCACAAAGGCAGAGTGACCTGGCCAAGATTGTCATCATGATGATATTATTACTTTAACAGCTCTTAAACATGCCACCCCAATAATAACAAATTATTATTAGCACTGAGCATTGAGTCAACCACTATCAGGGTTGAGCTGGCATGTGACTTCAGATCTGTATACCTCTGTCATCAAACAAAACAATCATGTTCATTTGGCACCATAAAACATCAAAAGGACTGTCAATGAATGATACCAAATAAACCAAACTGTACATGTTTTTTTTTCATTAGACCAAATATAATAAACTTTCAATCCTTGCCAATAGTTTTTATTGCCTGCCTTGGTTTCTGTCGCTGCAGACTTCATAGATAGCCCTGGGTACAGTTATGTCACCTACAAGTTTCGACGCCATACGTCTGTGAATGTAGAGAGGGGCTGGGTTGGTTTCCAACAGGATGAACCACTGCAGACACCCCTCCCATTGACACCTTTTTCCACCCAGGTGAAGAGGTGACATCATTTGTTTACAAGACAGCATGACATACATTGACAAAAATAAATATCGCTTAAAAACTGATTTTCAAAGATGTTGGACACAAACACTAACAGATAACGCAGACTGATAATCAATTTGCAGTTGTGGACATTAAAGATACTTTATACGAAGCCTCAATGCCCTCGTCTGTCCAAAAATTCATTATAATAGGGCTTAATGCATTAAAATGTACTTTATGGCATTCTGAGAAAACCTTTTTGTCGCAAACAATTTTTTTTTCTATCAGCAGAGTAGACATATGTGCAGCAAGTTCTCGTGCCTTAGCTGTGACATATGTGATAAAGTTTCCGAATGCAATATGTATCTCGGCAATGTCTGGCTGTTGCATGATAAATGTTGTTACTGCAAGCAGTACTGTAAATCAACATGTATGTCTGTCTGTTTTTAAATACTAATTGCTATTACTCAAATACTAACTCTGAATCTTTGACACTCTCTTGAAGGTTCCATGGTACTGCCCAAGCATCTTCCCCCCACAGGGCTTCATCATGGAGGTGGAAGTTATGACAGTAGATGGGAGGGTTACAGTACTCAACGTCACGGAAGACACAGAGGTAAGTCTTACCTGGAAAGTACACCTGTGTTGCTAAAAGTATTTCTGAAACAGTTTTTTAACAAACGAAATTGGACTTTTATCCAAATTTTTGAAAGTTCAACTCCAGTCATTGTTTGCGTGAAGTCACAGAAGTTGTGGATTGCTAATTAGTTTTATTGATAATGTCTGGGCTGGAGTTGAGCAGTCAAAAATTTAGGTCAGTCCAATTTTTGGTATTGAAGTTCAAACCTGAAGGAACTGTTTTTTCTTCTGTTCTGTGTATAACATTGTGTGCTGTCAATGGCTTAATGGTTGGGTTTACTAAGTGCTTGACAGAATGTACTGCGTCTGCCCGAAACCCAGAACTTTTCACAATTTTAATTGATTGTTGGGTCATTGTTGCATTAGTATTTTTCCTGTTGCATACAATCCTTTTTGCATTACAAAATTTATAAAGGAAAGTTGGGAGTTTGTCCCTTAATGCTCGATTACATTAAAACCTTAAACGAGATGCTTTGCCAAAGTGTTAGTCACAATACATTATGGGTGTGCCAACGTATATTGTCTACCAACGTCGCAATAATTATGAATATAAAAAATTAATGTTTTTCTGTTCCACAGGAGATTCTGGATGTGGAAGTCCTGTTACAGTTACAGATTGAAGAGGTCAACGATGTCATTGACTTTTCCTCCCTCCTAGTTATGAACACTGCCCAACCGGAGAAACGCAACTCCACAAATACAGTAGGACAACTTTTTAAATACCTGGCTTGATCTTTTGTAAGAAGTTGAGATAAGGGAATACGATGTACATGATGTAATGAAATAAATTTTCCAAAGAGCGTTCTTTTGTTAATTCGGTTTGACGTTCTTGGAATATTTTATAGTTTCAGTTTCGTTACTGTGGAATTCGTACAGGGGCAGAATATAGGCAGTGCTTTTTTGTGTTCAAAAGTAAGGCCTGTAGATTAGCATAACCTTTGGCTTCTCTTGCATGCATTGCTATAACTCAATTATATTTCCTGATTGACATGTAATTTTCTAAGTATGAATAAAAGAACAAATAGAAAAGTTAAATGTGATCCTAAGAAATTATCAGCTTGTAGCTCTTATATACACATTATTGTTAAGGTCAAGTATAAGTAAATGTTTTCTTTCTTGCCTTAGCTGCAGATTGCGAGAGGTATAGAACTGTCAGCAGAGACCATAAAAATGTTGGTAGAGAATGACACAGACCGTACTATCGCTGTGAAAGACATCAAAATAGCGTCTGCCAACATCTTCACAGGTACGTAAAAAAACTGTCCCTGAACTTACATTCACACTGACTATCCAACTAGTGACTTCACATTGGTCCTGTCCCTGATGCTGAACTTACACTGACTATCCTCCTAGTGACTTCACACTAGTCCTGTCCCTGGTGCTGAACTTTCATTCACACTGACAATCCTCCCAGTGACTTCACACTGGTCCTGTCCCTGGTGCTGAACTTACATTCACACTGACTATCCTCCTAGTGACTTCACACTGGTCCTGTCCCTGAACTTCCATTCACTTACACAGACTATCCTCCTAGTGACTTCACACTGGTCCTGTCCCTGGTGCTGAACTTACATTCACACTGACTATCCTCCTAGTGACATCACACTGGTCCTGTCCCTGGTGCTGAACTTCTATTCACACTGACTATCCTCCTAGTGACTTCACACTGGTCCTGTCCCTGGTGCTGAACTTACATTCACACTGACTATCCTCCTAGTGACTTCACACTGGTCCTGTCCCTGAATTTTCATTCACACTGACTATCCTCCCAGTGACTTCACACTGGTCCTGTCCCTGGTGCTGATTACATTCACACTGACTATCCTCCTAGTGATTTCACACTGGTCCTGTCCCTGAACTTCCATTCACACTGACTATCCTCCTAGTGACTTCACACTGGTCCTGTCCCTGGTGCTGAACTTACATTCACACTGACTATCCTCCTAGTGATTTCACACTGGTCCTGTCCCTGAACTTACATTCACACTGACTATCCACCTAGTGACTTCACACTGGTCCTGTCCCTGGTGCTGAACTTACATTCACACTGACTATCCTCCTAGTGACTTTACACTGGTCCTGTCCCTGAACTTACATTCACACTGACTATCCTCCTAGTGACTTCACACTGGTCCTGTCCCTGAACTTACATTCACACCGACTATCCTCCTAGTGACTTCACACTGGTCCTGTCCCTGGTGCTGAACTTCCATTCACACCGACTATCCTCCTAGTGACTTCACACTGGTCCTGTCCCTGAACTTACATTCACACTGACTATCCTCCTAGTGACTTCAAACTGGTCCTGTCCCTGATGCTGAACATTCATTTACACAGACTATCCTCCTAGTGACTTCACACTGGTCCCGTCACGGATGCTAA